CCCCAAAACCCCAAAACCCCAAAACCCCAAAACCCCTCATACTACTAATAACAGTTATTTATGAAATCAAAAGATTTGATAAAATTAATTATATTACTTGTTCAATTTATTGATGACTTTACATTCTTTCTTGATTACAATTGAGAATGAATTGGTTTCAGATTTTTAAATCATACATCCCTTTTGGTGAATTATTTAGTTCATAATTATCTCTATGTCTAGAGCAATCTTTACAAAGATCACCTAATTTATCGTCATGTTCAATGTCTAATGCTTAGTAGAACTATAAATGTTAATTTAGTGATATATTAATTACCCTTTCACATCTAAAGCATGATTGACCTTTCAAAGCTCGACGTTATTCCTTGTCTCTAACGACTTCTCTATATTTATATTATTTACCATTTTGCTGTCACTTGTCATTGGCAGCTCTTTACTTCAAATTGTTTTACTTTTATTCTCCAATGTAACTTTCAAAGCCAAGAGAGTTTTCCAATTGCTATTGTTGCTATGGAATCTAAAGGATGTTATTAAGATTTTGGTGAGTGATTAGATTGTTAATAGCGTCACTACCATTCGTAGTAGCAGTGTTTAAATTTAACTCATTGTCTTCAAAACCTTTCATTTCCACATCCTAGCCTGAATTACTCATAATGTTATTTTGTCCCATTTAGTTCAATATATTCTAAAATCTAAGATGTTAAGTGTCAATATCCTGTTCAAGCAATATCTGAGGTGAAGACTAGCATATATTAATCCTGTCTAAACTAATGTTGTTACCTATAAAATTTGGAGTCTACTGATAATTGTGCTAGTTATATTAATCATAGTTTTTTACACTTTCAATACTTGAGTCATCGACATTCAATTAATTTTATCCTTGACCCATATCATCTTCTATTGAAACAATATCCTTTGAAGTAGTAGTTGCTTTCCTTTTAAGCTTATCTCGATACCTATTAGGCTAATAGACATTTGAATTTAGCTTTTGCTATTACTTATCTTCTTTCTTTTGAAACCATTAAGACTACTAATTGGTTTGATCATCTTTTTTAGATTTTTATTGTTTTGTTGTTTTTTATTTTTCCTTAGTCCCATTATCATAATTAGGAGTATTTCCTTGGTTCATGTTAATCTCAGTTTATTAGAATTCTTCTATATCAATAATGCCTTGTTTCCTAAGATTCATCTAATTTGCAGATATTTTTTAAATAACACCTAGTTATGAGTTTGATTACTGACTATTATGTGTAATATTCAATGGATTAATTAAAGAGTTGTCATTATCTTGGACTTATTCCTCATTGATGTCAAAATAAGTTTCGTATTCATCGTCAGATACTGTGGTTGGTTTAGATAGGTTTGGTTATTGACCATTACTTTAATTTTCAGAATTCTGAATCTCCCCTTTTTTCTCCAATGATTTATCATTCTCCACATTAACGACATTATGATTCTCTTTATCAACTTTATTGCTAGCCAAATTTTTCTTAGTAACTCCAGTGAATCCTTGTTTACTTAAATAGCTAAATCCATTATTACTTCTAATTGGTTGATTTGTATTGTTAATACTATTTTGAACTAAAAGTTCATTAGTGACTGAGTTGCCATTCAATTGATTTGACTCATGATTATTATTTGATATTGATGAGTTTTAATTTTCAAGAATCTAGTCATTTTTCAATTCATATTTAACTTATAGGCCTGTAGTTGAAATAGGCAGTTAGTTTTAATATTGCATTAACTTCATCATAGGTTGATTTATGATAATTCTGTTTTAGATGTCCCCAATTATCTAAGCTTAAGCTTAATTTGCTTATTCTAGCTCTCTTATTTTCTTCTCTTATTCATCTACAACCCTAAAGAGTTCAACAGAATCTATAATAAACAGCTTCATTATTAGAAAGTATATATTGATTTAACTTACTTTGACACAAAGATGGTACAGTGCATGTCAGAATATTTATTGCATTTTCGACGTTTTAGAAACATACTGCGAGCTAATATTGAAGAGTAGAGATAAGTTGAGCTCGAGAACTCTATATATTCAACTGATTTTAATCTTAGAAATTATTATGAAGATAGTGCTGCTATTGCTACTGTTGCTGATGTTGATTTTAAATGTGAAGCAATGGATTAGAGTGCTGGTGAATATTTGTCTCCATTAGATTTTAATTTTAAATTTTAACTGAAAGGAGAGAGTTTTCTCTGAATATTAGTTTAGGGGTTTTGGGGTTTTGGGG